AGAGACAGAGAGAGAGACAGAGAGAGACAGAGAGAGATGAGAGAGAGAGACAGAGACAGAGAGAGAGACAGAGAGAGAGAGACAGAGAGAAGAAAGAGAGAGAGGGGAAACAGAGAAACAGGCAGGCAGGCAGGCAGACATATCCCTGACTGTGGTGGCGCATGCCTATGATCCCAGCACCTCAAAGGCTTAGGCAGGAGGATTGCTGGAAATTTGAGGCTGGTTTGGGCTACACAGTGCGTTCAAGGGTGGCTTCACCTATATTGTGAGACTTTGTCTCAAACAAACAAAAAAATCAAACCAAACCATAACAATAAAAGAAAGAAAAGACGGAAGATAGAGATGGAGGTGACAGAGAGATGGAGCAAAGGGGGCAGAGAGGTAGATAGGGCAGAATGGGGCCTGCCAGTGGACGCCTTGGTCGGAGATGACCATGTGGGGGGCGCCGGTGCCTCCTCCTCGCCCTTTCCGCCCACCTGGGCGCCTTTCCTGGGCTTCCTGTGCCGCCCCTCCTCCTTCCCGGCACGGGCCCACCCCAGGAAGTCCTCAGGGAGGCGGCAGGAAGCCTCCTTTCCACGGAGAGTCTGGCCACTAGCCAGACATCCGGGTCCCATGCGGGAGTGTCCCAGGGCCACCTGGCTGGGCAGCGAAGGCCTCACGCCCCTGGGCCCTCTTGATTTGGGGCCCTCAGGGCTCATTCGGGTGGGCATGTGGCCCTGGGCGGGGTTCCAAGGAGGGCAACGATGAGATGGAGATGAGGTGGAGGGCCACTTGGACACTGCGCAGGGGCCCAGCTAGCCGCATGGACCACCAGGGGTGGGGAGGGCTGGGCTCCCGAGCTCTGGGATCCCAGGCTCTGCTCCGGCTCAGCCCCTTCCTGGAAGCCTGATGCAGGACTGAGGTACAGAGGCCACAGCTGAGGCACTGGGGTTCTGTGTGCTGACTGGTGGCACCCAGGGGACAGAGTTGGGCTTTGGAGGCTCACCCAGGCCTGCTGGGCCACCCACACCCACTGGACCTGAGCAGGGCCTGGGGCTGTGTGCCCTTGGGGTGGCGACAGCCTTCTTGGTCCTGCTGTGACCTCCCTTCCCCTCTTCTTTCCTGGCCCAAGGGTGATGGGTCCTGTGTAGCCGGCTTAGGTCAGGTTGACCTTCACGGAGCCAGGCATCCGGGCCTAGGTGTGTGCCCCTCAGCAGCAGGAGAGGCTGAAGGATCTTTGGGGGTCCCTGGAGGTGAGTTTGGGGTCAGGCCGTGGCATGGCAGCATCACAGTGGAGCAGCAGATCCCAGGGGCCCTGCTCTGTCCACTGGACACACTGGCCTCGCCCCTGACCTCAGGCTTCACTTTGACCAGAGAGGCCCTGTGTGTGCCCCCTCAGGACCTTCCCAGGCCCTGCCCCTGTTGAGCTCCAGCTGCTGCCTCCCCACTGGCTCCTGTCCCTTTGGGGCAAGACCTCTCCCTGTCTCCATGAGAGCCAGTGGGGGCCCCTTTCTTTGCTGCAGGGATGCTGCCCTCTGGGGGCCATCGCAGCCCCACCCAGGTCCCGCTGCTGCCTGCCGCCTGTACCGCACACCCTGGCTCTCCCTGCACACAGCCGGGACCACAGTTCAGCTCCAGTGTGCACCGATGCTCCCCTGCCTGAGGGCCACCCCCATCATCTCCCAGTCCCTGGCTTGGGAATGAAGACCCAGACTCGCCTTGGTCTTCATTCATCCCCTGGTCCTGGCCACCACCTTGACTGGCCCTTGGTGTCCCTTAGGGGTGGTGGACCCTCTGAGAAGGGGTCTGCCTGCTCCCCCAGGAGGTCCCAGGGCATGGGGTGCATGTCCCCAGGCTGTGACTTGGCCCTCACAGAGATGAAGAAAGCCACATCCAGCTTGAGGTCAGCAGTACCTGCAGTGTGTCGTTGGATTCCCAGTGTGTTCCCAGCTGCCACTGGCTGGGCTCACAGTGCATGGGTGGGTCCCAGACAGGCTCGCAGCCTGTTGGATAGCAGGATGTGGACACCCACATGGTAACCGCTGTCACTGGGCATCCCACAGAGGAACCCCAGGACTGTTCTACTGGGTTCCCTGTCCCTATCTGGGCAAAGACAGGTGAGTTGCCAGACCCTCTGTGCCTGTGAGTTAGGACTGGGCTCTGGAATTGAGGACCCCTGCACCGCGAGGGATGGTGACAGTAATGAGGCTCTGGGTGAGCCAAATTGATCTGTGGGGTGCTCTCAGGGGCAAGGAGCCTTCAGGGTCTGGCGTCTCAGGACAGCTTGACACAGGAGAGTCCACTTGCCCCACTGAGGGTGGAAGCCTTGCTGGAGTCAGTCCTGTCCCCAAAGCCCGGGTGCACCCTGTTCACACTGCCATGCTCGGACACGTCTCTGCAGATACAGTTGTTTGATGAAGTCGGAGTAGGTGGTCCCTGGTGTCCTTTGGAGAGATAGACATGGTAACAGCGGTATGATGACAGAAGCAGGACTGGAGTGGCAGGGCCACACCCAAGGGACTCTTGGCACCTCAGGGAGCAGTGTACCTGCTCAGGGTGGATAATGATGAGGCAGAGGCGCTGGCAGTGCCCAGTTCCCCTGTACACCTCGTAGATCTGTGTATAGAGCAGGAACACACAGAGGGAGTAAGCACACAGCAGGAGGACCCCATAATCAGAAGCCCTTGGGGCTGGTGAGATGGCTCAGTGGTCTAAAGCACCTACTTAGAACAAGTTTAGCAAAAAGCACAGGGACCGCGGTTCAATCCCCCAGCACCACATGCCAGCCAGCCCCGCCCCCTGGTGGGCTGAGCTGGCCACAGACACGCACACACACACACACACACACACACACACGCGCGTGCATAAATAAATATTAAAAAAAATAATAATCAGAAGCCCTTCTGATTTAGTCAGGCTTGGTGGTACACATCTGTAATCCCAGCATTCTGGGAGGCTGAGGCAGGAGGAGAATCTCAAATTTGAGCTCAGCCTGGGCAACTTAGCAAAATCCTGTCTCAAAAAAAATAAATAAATAAATAAAAATAAATAAATAAGTAAAATAAAGAGCCGGCCAAATAGCTCAGTGGATTAAAGTACCTGCAAGCAGGTGCAGGGGCCAGGGGTTTGATCCTCGTGCTGCCCCCCGCCCCGCATGCTGAGATGACAATTGAGACTTGGCCAACCAAATACATTAAAAATGATGATAATAATAAAAAAAACCCCTAAAGCTAGAGGTTCCATTTGACCCAG